AAACATACAATTGTGTGTGTGTATAATTCTTGCTGCCAATATAATATAAAACAAGGTTCTCATATATCATAGAAATCATAGAAATCATAGAAATCATAGAAATCATAGAGTCTCCAAAGAAGGAGACTCCACCAAAATCTCCTTTGAGGGAGTGTGGTCCACTGTCAAACAGCCCTTACTGTCAGGAGGTTCCTCCTAATGTTCGGTGTAATTTCTTTTCTTGTAGCTTGCATCTGTTGTTCCTATTCTCTCGAGCAGCAGAAAACAAGCTTGTTCCCTCCTCAACATGACATCCCTTCAAATATTTAAACAGGGCTTTCATATCACCTCTTAACTCTCTTCTCCAGGCTAACTATACCCAGTTCCCTAAGTCATTCCTCATAGGGCATGGTTTTCAGACCCTTCACATTTTTTTTTTGCTCACCTTCGGACACGCTCCAGTTTTTCAACATCCTTTTTGAATTGTGGTGCCCAGAACTGGACACAGGATTATTCCAGGTGGGGCCTGACCAAAGCAGAATACAGTAGCATTATTACTTCCCTTGATCTAGATCAGGGGTTGGCAACTTTTTTTTGCCATGGGCCAGGAGGGAGGGGGAAATGGTGTCGGGGGCTGGCGCGCTGCGCACGTGCCCGCACAACGCCCACCATCGTGCGCATGCGTGCATGCGTGGGGGGCACAATTTTGGAAAGGCCAATGGCACTGGCGCCGTGCGCATGTGAATGACACCAGAGCTATTGGGCGTTCCGAAATAGTGCTCTGCATCACGCATGCATGCGCACACGATGTGGGTGCCATTTTGGAAGACCCAATGTCTCTGTCGCCATGTGACGCCGTCACCGTGTGGCGTTCCAAAATGGGGCCCGTTGCTGTATGCATGCGTGGATGAGCGCAGGCGCCATTTTGGATGCCAAAATGGCACTCGTGCTTGCACGTGGTGGCAGCGGCAGGACTGGCCACGGGCTGGTCGCAAGGCCTCCGCGGGCTGCACCTGGCCCGCGGGCCATAGGTTGCCAACCCCTCATCTAGATACTATACTTCTATTAATGCAGCCTAAAATTGCATTGGCCTTTTTAGCTGTGGCATCACACTGTTGACTCATGTTCAACTTGTGGTCCACTAGGACTCCTAGATCCCTTTTACATGTAGTCGCATTAAACCAGGTGTCCCTCATATTATATCTATGCATTTCATTTTTCTGCCCTAAGAGTCGTACCTTACATTTCTCTGTGTTGAAATTCATTTTGTTAGCTTTGGCCCAGCTTTCTAATCTATTAAGATCATTTTGAATTTTCATCCTGTCCTCTGGGGTATTAGCTATTTCTCCTAATTTGGTGTCATCTGCAAATTTGAGAAGCATGCCCCCTATTCCTTCAACCAAATCATTGATATATATGAGAACCTTGATGTATACTGATATATATGAGAACCTTGTTTTATATGATATTGGTAGCAAAAATTGTATATGCCCCAAAGTGGAAACAAGAGAATATTCCAACAGTTGAGGAATGGCTACTAAAATTATTAGATTTATTGGAAATGGATAAAATACCAAAAGGAGTAAGAAATAATAATGCTAAAATTACACTGAAGATCGGAAAAAAATTTCTAGAATATTTAACCCAGAAATGAAGGAAATATTTACTATGGGTTCAATTTTAGATTGAGATGCAAATTGAATAAGGAATAAAAGAAAATTTAAATGTAGACTCAGTACAGAAGACAAAGAAGTGGAACATGTATATGTTGGTGGCATTTATAGTTTAATAATAATAATAATAATAATAATAATAATAATAATAATAATAATAATAATATTTATTTATATCCCGCCCCTCTGTAGAGCAATCAGGGCGGCTTACAACATTAACAAGTTTAGTGGTGGACATGCATAAAAGCAAGGAAATTTTGGTCTAAAAGACATCATATAGTTAATAAAATATAACAGGAAAATATAATATTTAAACCTGAAATGTTTTTTGTTAAACATGACTGATCACGCATTAGAAAAAAAATACAGAAGATTTTTTTTATATATACAGTCAGCCCTCTGTTTTCATAGGGGATCTGTTCCCGACCATCTCACGAAAATGGAGATTCGCACATATTCAAGCCCCATAGGCTTGAATGGGGCACACCCACAGGGGTGCTCCCCATTGATATAAATGGAGGTCGCTCTTCTATGAATATGCAAAACCACGGACTTCAAGTGCGCCGCAAGAATGATCTTTGTCCATTTGTGGAAATAAAAGACTACACATTCAATAGGAGACTGGATTGGGAAAATTATTGAAGTAATAGAAATGGACAAATTGACAAAGAAATTACAAAATGAAAAATTAAAAAAATATAAACAAGACTGGGAAAAAAGCGACTGACTATTTGATTCAGGAATGCAGAGAACTATCTACAATAAGATATATTTGAGGTACTTACATATGGGTTCCATCCAAGGAAATGAAATAAGATGAGAACAATTATAGTGAAATATTAAGCACTTTTGTAGTTTAATTTAACAGAAAAATGTAAGGGAAAACATTTTATTTTTCATTGCAAGATAAACATAGTGTCATGGGGGGGACCCAAACATTTCTAGATAGGGAGTAATGAGTAAGGTATCAATGATCTGTCTATATGAAATGTTATTTGTAAATTTAAGTTAGTGTTAATGTCAGTGTTCCATGTTGGTTATTTAAAATTAAGTGGAATGTGAGGAAGTGATGTAATAATGGATTTTTAGTGGCAATAAATACATTTTTTTAAAAAAAGAAAGGAAAGAGAATATTATATTTTCACTACAAGATAGCCTCTTCAAAGAATAAGTTCAGACCAGTAAAACTTATGAAAAGCTGCAAACGAAGGGTATGGATGATCTGGGTAATGTTTAGTAAAGTTTGTGTAAATTGTATAGAAAGGCCCTGGTTCTGACTGTCACAGCCTCTCTTGTGGGAAACATCCTTCTCTGTGTTATGAATCAGTATCTGCAAAATGCTTGCACCTTTGAAACTAACTAAAGAAAGAAGTTGGCAGCATGAGTTTTCATAGACTTCAGTCTACTTCCTCAGGTGCATTTGGAGCCCCCAAAATGTATCTGGGGAAGTGGACTGAAGTCTATGAAAGCTCATGTTGCCAACTTCTTTCTTTAGTTAGTCTCAAAGGTGCTACACAGAAGATCTCTCTGCATACTGATCCTACAGACAAACACGGCTATATCTTTCAATTCTGCAAAATGCTAGCCACCTTTCTTGCTGTTGTTGCTGCTTCCACCTTTTCCCTGTCGTGGGACTCAGCATGGCTTACAGCAGTTAAAACAAAGCAAAGGCTGTCAGGGGAGGAAGGATAAATCCACATCAGGATTTATTTCAAACTTTAAAGACCTTAAAATAATAGGCTTAGCAGATTTGGTACTGAGTAAACCAATGTGGCGTAGCGATTTGAGCACTGGATTATGATTCTAGAGACCAGGGTTCGAATCCTGGCTTGGCCAAGTAAACCCACTGGGTGACCTTGGGCAAGTCCCACATTCTCAGCCTCAGAGGATGGCAATGGCACACCCCCTCTGAACAAATCTTGCCAAGAAAAACCCAGGCCATAGGGTTGCCATAAGTTAGAAGCGACTTGAAAGCACACAACAACAACAACAACAACAACAACAACAACAACAAAAACAAATGGACTATAACCTGGACTGGATTCCACATAGCACTGACATCCAAGCCACTGGTTGCCACTTGTGCAGACTGTGCATTGATGTTGCTAGTGCCACCAGACAGAAAATGAATGGGCAATATTTAAGACATTTAAGTGTATTTATCGATAAGGTTTTTTTATTGCACAAATGGAACCAAAGAGCTGGTTCCATCAACTGCAAAACTGCATTGGACTAGGTATTTACACTAGAAAACATTTGTTAATATCTGATTTAAAGAAAACCCAAAACCCAACAGATGCAGAAATGTCCATGTGGGGGTAGGGGAAAGAAGAAGCCTCTCAACCGGATGTTGAATAGGGATGGAACAAGAATACTGATAGGATTCTGAGAAAGACAAGGAGAATGAGGCTGAGAGATTTCCATATCCCTTTCCTCTTGGGAGGCAGCATAAGATGGGTGAGAGAAAATGACTCATCTCACATCATGCAACGAATGCTGTAGATGGGCAGGGATTCAGATTTCCAACCCTGAGAGTCAGAGTTTTCCCTGTGAACCACACTATGCTGGCGGTAGAGCAATGACATTATCACACCATTGGCTCAGTGTGTGGCAGCCACGGTGCCACCTGGATTCCATTGATACAGCCCTATATACATGAAGCTTCCAGTAAGCTTTGGGAAGTGGAGTAAATATAGGAGAACACCCACAGGGAATCTGGGGTGCACAGGAGGATGCTATCCGATTCTCTCCAGCGTCCCACATGCCTTATTATTAGTATTAATATTCAAATCATAGAATCAAATCATAGAGTTGGAAGAGACCCCCAAGGGCCATCCAGTCCAACCCCCTTCTGCCATGGAGGAAGACACAATCAAAGCCCTCCTGACAGATGGCCATCCAGCTTCTTTTTATAAACCTCCAAAGAAGGAGACTCCACCACAATCTGAGGCAACGTATTCTACAGCAGATTCCATTAGTATGTGCCAGATCCCATCTGTGCCAGATCCCATCTGATTTTGGAGGCTTACCAGGGTCAGCCCTGGTTAGTATGTGGATGGGAGATCACCGATGAATACCCAGTGCTGTAGGCTGCATTTCAGAGGAAGGAACTTGCAAACCCACCTCTGAGCATTCCTTGGCTAAGAAAACCCTATGAAATGCATGTGGTCACCATAAGTCAACAGGTGACTTGAAGGCACATGCACAATTCATATTATAATAATGAGGTCATTTGGGCATTTTGGATGGCCAATAAAGGCATTGCTCATTTATGGGTTGTGGATTTCCTTTTTTAAAATATAAAGCTCTGAGTAGAAGGAGATCAAAGTAGGAGAAGAGGGACAGCAGAAGGAGAGAGAACCAACTTAAACCTCCCTAGAGAGGAAGCTTCAAAGTCTGGGAGTCATCACCAAGAAGGCCTTTCTCCTTTGTTCCCACCAAACATACCTGGGAAGGTAGTGGGTCAAAGTGTTGAGCTTTTCCTGAAGATCTTAGGGCTCAAACAGGCTCATATAAAAAGAAATAGTCCTTCAATTAGCCTTAACCTGAGCCATAGGTCCATCAACTGAGTCTTTTCTCCACTGAGCAAAAACCAAGGAGTTCTGCATGGAGTGGAACCATGCATTCTGTCAGCAAGACCAGAATGGGGCATGGATTTAAGGTGGGTGAAGGATGTAGCAAAAAGACAAATACATGGATCCAAAAGCAAATCAATGCTGAACTCCCATGCAAAGCCAGAATGCTTAAACTGAGGCAATCATAGTTTTTTGTGGGTTTTTCATGCTGTGTGGCCATGTTCTAGAAGAGTTTCTAAACCCACAAAAAACTATGGATGCCGGCCATGAAAGCCTACGACTTCACAGTAACAGAACATCTTGGTGATCTCTCATTCAGAAGATTACCATTATCATAGAGGCCATGTAGTCCAGTGATTCCCAAACTTTAGTCCTCCAGATGATTCGGACCTCAGCTCCCATAATTCCTGACTGCTGGCCAAGTTGCTGGGGCTTTGGGGAGCTGGTGTCCAAATGCAGGACCAAAGGTTGAAAACTCTGATCTAGTCCAACTTCATGCCAGCCAGGAATACACTTCTAAAACATTCCTGAGATATGTCCATCCATCCTCTGCTTAAAGACCTGCAAAGAAGTCCACTACTTAAGGCAGTCCGCTCCACCATCAAACAGTTCTAGTCTTTGGAGTAGCAGAAAACAACCTTGTTCCATCTTCCACACGACATCCCATCAGATATTTAGAGATAGCTATCTTGTCACGTCTCAGTCTTCTCTTCTCAAGCCAAAGATACCCTGTTCCCTAAGATGTTCTTCATATGGCAAGGCTTCTAGACATTTTGCCACCCTGGTTGCCCTCCTCTGACATGTCCAGCTCATCAATACAGTCGTACCTCTACTTACGAATGCTTCATCTT